TCACATGCAGTATAGAAACTAGTTGAGATATGTTCACATACCTTGAATACAGCATTTTTGCACATCAAAACAAAAAAGCCAGAAATCGCTTAAATGCATTTGATGACTTACGCGCGACTCTCTCTCAAAAAAAGCCTCATTTTAATTGAATTATTATGAATAAACAACAACAAACAACAACAACCTAGCCATTAAAATTGAAATATTGCTTTTTATGTTATATAGTAATATATATTGTAAATAAACATGGCATTTGTTTATGCAATAAATGTTTTTCATAAATAAAAAATATACACACATTTTTTTTAAGGAGGTGCAAGAGCTTATTTTCAGATTCAAGGGAGTGCTGACCACTAAGAAGGTTAAAAACCGCTGGTGTAAAGTAACATACCTTGTATGTCAACAGAATTTCCCACTACATTATAAATTAAGAGTAATTAATTATACAGAAGTCAACTAGTCAACAAAATATTAAGAATTTACCATTCTTTTTATATAGTGAATAAAATGGATCATATTATCTCACAAATAATCTGATAAGCTGAGTAAATAAACTAAATTTTGATATGAATACTTTAGGAATTATGATATACTTATAAAAAAACTCATAATTTATAAAATTAAAATATAATTAAATGACTTCATCACAATGACTTAAATCAAGGCTTGTTTGATTTTAAAAAAGTATATTTCTTCAGACCTAAAAATATAACACGAATAATATATCTTCATTTTTTAGCAAATAAAAAATATTGCTAAAAAATGAAATTTTAAAATTCTTTGAAACAGATTATATTCCATTTATATAATGTAAAATCAATAAATCATTTAGAAAAAATTAATGTTTTCACAATAAAAGAAAACTGGATTAAAATCACAAACTAAAACCTTTCAAATTCCAGCAATATATTTAAAAATTAACAAATTGCTAATGTTTTCAGTTGTTTTAATCAACCATTACCAAAAGCATTCTAAAAACTGACTAAATCAAACAATGTTTTAGAATTCCATTCCAAATCATTGTTTTAGTTATAAAAAGAAAACATTAAAATTATTAAAAATTCAATCAATTGATTAAAAATCATTTAAACTGATTTAATTTTCAAAATAATAAAAAGAAATATACATTCATTAATTTTATTTATACATTAGTTGCATTTTTAAGTACATAACATTAAAATTTATATTTCTTTCATTTAACAAGTTTTAATGTTTTTTTTTTTTTTTTTCTTTCTTTTAAATCTATCATATGGTTAACCTATAATTATCTATTATAAGGTTAAAAACAGAAAAGTTAATATTTGAAACAGAATAAAATTATTAACACTATTTCATATTAAAAAATTTACAATTAAGTAATAATGAAATCTCAGAAAACTATTTAAATTTAAATTATTCATAAATTTGTATTATTAACAGACAACAGACAATTCATTATTCTGTTGTATAGAGAAAATTAATGCCATATTGTAGTATCTGTAAGCTGTTACATAATCATATTTTCAATAAGAACATTTTATAAATTTATTTTTAAATTGATATTCTTAAATTAAGGTATGTTTAAACAATTCTTATTTTAAAAATTTATAAATATATAAATTTAAAGATTTTTAAGCAGAAAATAAATTTTAAAACCTTTTATGGTATATATCAGAAGTCTTAAGAGAGAAAAATAAGAATAAAGAATCATTATATTATTAATAAATTTTCTTATAATGAAAAGTACAGTAGATCCCCCTATAAGACGGTAGATACGTTCCGTTCTTTATGAATCAATTTTGTAGGAATCATAGTTTACGGACTACGGCTGTTTGAAAGGTTTTCTTTCATAAAATTAATCGATTCTAGACTAATTCGACTCAACATTTCCAAAATACGTATATTTTTTTTAAAATAATCCGTATAAACTACGTTATAAACAAAAAATTGTAGGATTACTTACCGAGTGTGTACCCTTTGACTACGCTCGTTGCTAAAGCTTGGTTTCGTCGCGGAACAGCGCATCAAATTGCGGCCGCGATTTCTGATATTATTTTTCTGCGAAAACTTCGTTGACCTTTGGAGACATCATTAATATAAATAATTTTTATGGCCGTTAAATAAGAAATGTTTCTTTCACAAGAAATGTATAAAATTACAGTACTAAACAGACGATAGGTCGCCTAACTCGCCGTAGCGTGACGCTAGACGGCGAAAAATATATATTTAATTATAATAAAGTTACAATAAATTAAGTTAATATATAATTATATATACAGTACCTAATTTATATATAATTAATATATAATTATATGTACAGTACCTAATTTATATATAATTTATATAATACTGTCCAGACGATAGAAATCTCTCCGTAGCGTGGCGCTACGGACGGCGGGTAAGTAGTTCGGCTGCCCGATGACGTTTTACGTATTATAGGAGTTATTTTTACCGTTGTTTACGGATAATGCCACAATTTTTATAGGAATCATAACTATAGGAAACGGTTTTATAGGGGGATCTACTGTATATAAGAAAATTTTAATTTAAAAATAGAGGCAACTGTAATAAAATTTTGTATTCCTTAAAATCAAATTTTCAATTAAAAACAATATTAAATGAAAATATATATATATTCAATTAGTAATGTAAAAATGACTTATTTACATTATAGTTTCAATAAAAGTTATATGCTTTAGAATTACAAAAATTTCTTTAAAACGTAATGATTTCACTATGCATTACTTACAACATATTTTTCTGTATGAAAGTCCTAGAAAATCATTATCCAAATAACAGTAAATACTTTTGTTAAATTTTGAAACCATAATTAACAAAACCTAGATTCTTTAAATTTCTAGGAAGAATTAATTTGTTTATTTAATAAGTTGTAGAATGTTTTATATTTTCTTTAGTTAATAAAAAAAAAGCCTTTAATATCTAACAATTTCTTTAAAATATTTTTTTAAAAATTAGAGAGATTATCTGAAATTTAATATCAAAATAAAATAAATGAATATTGATTTAATGTAGTTTTTAATTCAAAATGCAAACAATTTTGAGACATACAAAATTAGAAAAAACTTTTTAGTTAAAAATTTCTAGCTTCAGATAACATAAGCTTCCATTTTAATAATGTTATTTAAATTTGAAGTAATTGAAAATTTGCAGATTACATATTGAAGTCAGCATTTTTATTTTATTTTATTTCAAAATAAAAACTTTTGAAATAAAATTAATACTGTTAATTTCAAAAATGCGTTATAAGATATAATGTCAATTGGTAAAGATTTTTAATTTGTTATTATATAAATATATGTATACAGTAATTTTTTTTTCATTAATTAATGATAAAAATTGGAAATCCAATATTGTAAATAAGAAATAAACTTCATGTAGAACACAGTAGTTAAATATATACACAATTATTATGATTATAATGTCAAATAAAGAACTTATCACGCATTCAAATTAAATACTGTATATACAAATCAATAAACTTATTCTTGAAAAATGGCTTTTATCTTGAGTTTTAGAAATTTTAAATACTATAGTAACAATATTGATTTTAAAAAAAAAGTTATATCATAAACATAATTCAAAGAATTTGAACATTACATATTGTAGTTTACATATCATAACTGTTTACGATAATTAAAACTAAGAATCAAATTCATTCTTTTATGAATTTAAAGTAAATATTTTTATATTTAAGTTATACTTCAAGTTGATTGATAATTGAAAATAAAGTATTTGAATATTATCAAAATAATTGAAAATGGAATGCATATTTAAAATATTAAAAGTTATTTTGAAATTTTATTGTTTAAAAGTTAACAAATTAGAGACGTAGGAGTGTATTATGATACTAGATTTCCTTTTACAATGCATATGGAAAAGATAATTACAACTGCTATTAGAACTTTAGAAATGATTTTTAGAATTTTGAGACAATGTAAGGAAATAAAAGTACTAAAATCTTTGTATTCAACTCTTGTTTGTTTGAAGATTTTATTTGCGGTAGTGATCTGGAATACACAACTGATGACAATTGAACAGAGTAGAAATAGTTAATAACCATATCAAAAGATATTGTAGAAGGAAATTTATGTTAAATCAAGAAAAGGCTGAAATCTATTTTCCACCTTTAATAAACTTTGTAATTTCCAATGTATGCAATTTTTAACGTCTCTGTTACAATCTGAAATTGATGCTCCTGCTTTGTTAGAACAATTACATCTGCAAGTACCTGTGTCTACTGGGAACTTTTTAGATTCAAAATTCCTTTGTATAAATCTAATATTGCTGAAAATATGTGTTCATAATCTTGCAGTGCTCTATAATCACTCATAAAGTACAAAACATTTGAATTCAAGAAAAAAAAATGATAGTTGAGTTCTGTCTGTCAGTGTTATATAAAAATAAACTCACAAACTCTATAATCACTTTGGATAGCAACTAGATTTGTTCAGTTATAATGGTTTTGGCAGTCACTACAAGATATTTAATATTGAACATTAAAATTATTGTGAAAATTGTTCTTACAAATTCAATATGTTTGTACATTTTTCGATTTTTATGTTTTGTTATGTATTAAATTCACTTCAAATGTTGAACAGACCTGTATGTTAAACAGACCTGTAATTAAGGATTCCTGTAGGTTGATCTGGTAAATAAATAGTTTATTATAATAGCATAATATCATAAAATATAATTAATATAAAAATTAAAAAAAGCAAATTAAAGTAAGAAAAATTTTCATTAAAATATCTAACTTGTAAGCAAAATTTATTTTAAGAAAATAAGGAAATTTATTTAAAGGAAAAACTAAAATATTTACTTGTTTAAAAAATCTAAATTAGTTTTAGGATTGGAGGAAAGATATCAGTTTAAAGACCAGCTTTTTTCTTTATTAATGTATAATTTCCTTCATCTAAAATTTTAATTTATGATAAAAAGACAGCTAATAATGCACCATGCACCAATCCTAAATAAAACTAAAATAAATCACTTTTCAATACCTCTTTCAAAAGATAAATCTCCATCTTCTTGAGCTGAAAACTTATCTGTAGCAGCAAATAACTTCTCATTGAGAGAAATTGGGGAAACTTTTATTTCCATAACAAAACTAGAAGGAAAGCTTCCCTGCTGTCCGGATGATATTCCTTGTAACCAATGTTTATCAATCCTGTTCATAACATGTATAATTTGTCCAACTTGAATAGACAGTTCCCCTTCCAAATTTGTTTGAAAGTCATAAACAGCTTTCACCAAATAACCCTTTTCCATTTTGTCTAAAAATACACATAAGCATATTTTATAAATATATTAAAAATTTTTAACAAAATTACATATTGAAAGATATTTTATAATATTTACATTCTGAATATTTAGAATAATATTTTATATTTGTAAAACAATAAAAATAAAGATGATGAACAAGTAATATTTAAATTCATATAATAAACTGTTCTGATGTAAAAATAATTACTACTTTAATTTTTGATAAGAATTTTTTTATATTTAATTTCTAAACATTAAAAATAAATATTAAATAATTTGTATAGCAATTACAATTAAATGCAATAGAGAATAAATTTCAAAATTAAATGGATGAATTAATATCATAATATTATGACAATATATTTAAATAATTTTAAATTATAAAATTATTTGAATTCTTCTGTTTTATTAAAAATTTTCAATTGATTAATTTGAAAAATAAAAAATGCAGAATTTTTCTGTTATCAATAGAGCAGTTCCTGTTTAAATACAGTAATTATTTAAGGAAGTGATTGATGTCAAGAATATGAATATAAAACTATTCTTGCATGAACAACAAATCATTATCACAATATTTTAAAATAAAATTATAATGCATAAAATTATGATTTTATGCATTGTAATTTTAAATAAGTAAATCTATTTAAAATTGAAATTTTTACTATTATTCAATTCATTTATAATTAGATGGTAGTAATAAATAATTTTAGTCTTAGCATTTTACTTAAAACTATCATCAGTTTTAATTTTTTATTTAAAATTATATTGGCACACAGTAAATATACTCCCACAACTGCCATAAATGATCAGGCTAAATTTGGATATAATGATTATAAATTAAAAATGAATTTGGCACTAGAGTGAGGTGTTACGTGCCATCTTGTACTAAAATTAATAATTATAATATTTAATTAATTAATTTAGATTAAACTGGAAGAAAAGACTCAGCCCAAAACGGGACTCGAACCTACAACTCCTGCTTACCATGCAGATGGTTGCCAGTTACACTACTTGGACCTTTGGTCAGATCTCCTCTTATAATCATTATATCCAAATTTACCAGATCATTAATTTACCAGATAATTAGCCAGATCATTTACGGCAATTATGGGAGTATATTTGCTTATTATTGGGTTTCGATTGGTGTGTATATTGGCATACAGTCATTGAGCAACTCTTAATGACATCTGTTCTAGAAAGGATAATACAAAATTGTACAAAAACAGTGAAATTATTTATTAATTTTTATAACAAATTCCATTGAATTAATTTAAATAATCTTCAAACACTTAAAAATAACTGAATTCTATACAATTTTTTGATAAGTATATTTTTTTCCAATTTGTTTTCAAGTCATTTTTATATAATGAAATTTTAGAAATGAAATAATCTTGAAAGAAATCAAACATCAAAATATTTTATTACTTGTTCTTAAGTTGCACATAAACAGGATATAGACAATATTTATGAGAATAATACCTCATAGTTTATATATCTATATAAATTATTACTCAACAGTAAAGTACATAGAATAATTAATCTTTATACATAAATGTCATATTCATAAAATTAATATTAATTACTTTATTGCAATTTAAATCAATTACTTGAATAACAAAAATGCAAAAACTAGTGTCTTGAGTTCTAACATATAGTACAAATAAATGCTTTACCAGAAAGTTCAAACAGTTACATTAAATAGTATTAAATAACCATATGTGCCTACTGGCCTTATTGTTATAATTATCAGACTTATCACACATCTTTCCAATTTCTTTAATAAATGCTTAATATCCCAGAATGCGTTTTGGCTTTTTAACAACCCTCTTCGGCCAGATTTCGAGATATTAAGACTTAATAGAAATTGGAAATGTGATGACAAGTCTGATAATTATAACAATAAAGACAGTAGACTCATATGGTTATTTAATACTATTTAATAGATAACAGCTTATATCAAACGAAGTTACATTAAATCTTCTTCCATAGATACGCATCTCTGACGACTAACCAAAAGTACTCCGGGCAACGCGGCCGTTTAGACTCTCCAATATAACAGAATACAATTAAATTCTAACATTAGTAATAGTAACATTTGAATATTTTACGTGTATATTTTAAAACAATTCAATAAGAATATCATTATTTTTAATAAGAGAAAATGATTTTCCAAATATACAAACAGTTGTCAACATAAAATCTGTAATTGCTATTTTTAATAAAACATGCCAACAAGGACATTCTACTTACTTTAGCTTTAGGAGGTGATTTAATTAATGTAAAATTTACATAAATGTCTGTCACTATTTGTGTACAGTGAATGGGATGTTTTTAATAGTGTCATTGATACTATTAATAGTTATGAAGTAAAGATTGATGAAGGTTTTATTAAATGGATCATATTTATTAATAAATGAGATAAGAGTACGATCCCATCTCGTTATATTCTTAGCATTCTTTTAATAAAAGATAACGAATCAATAGAAGTGAAGCATGACTTACTTATCATTTAATAATCTTTCAGAAATTACATTCAAGTATTTTCACGTGACAGCTGCTTTCTTATCCTTAAAATCTCTTCTTCTTTATCTCGATTCATTTTAACTATACGAACTTCGTTTAAAAATACGGAAAAATCAAATATAAATGAAACATTGGTAAGTACGAAGGCAAAACATTTCGAGGTGGTACTGCCATCTGTCTATAAACATAATAAAAATTTAAGTGGTCGACCAATCGGCGTCGTTTTATTAAAATACTTTCGGCCGATCCACCAATAAGAAAGGTTAAATCTCGATGTTAACAAAGTCGCTCTTTAACCTAGACGTCACGTGATCGAAAAAATGTCGGCTGCTTTTTTTGTTTTTTTCATTTTGTATTTTTTGGTTTGTTGTTAAATTAATTTATCGGATAATGTTATTAATATACAATTGTTAAAATCAAGTATTAAAAACTCAAAAATTGTTATTATAGAGTCCATATGTAATTAATGAATTCAACAGTTCATAAATAAAACAATTAAATATTTAATTTCATTATTGTGTAAAATAATGTTTATAGTGTTTAATGTAATTCTATACATTTCTCGCTTGTATATAAATATACTCAAATGAATAAGAAGGTCAGCCATAAAACAGGACAGGACGAATCAGTGGAACTTAATTCCTGTTTTTTTCTTTTTATCATGCAAATTGTAATATAGTAAATGTTATATATATATATATATATATATATATTTGCGAAGTATTCAACTGTTTTTGCTTACGTGTTGATAGCATTGTAAGATAAATAAGATACTTTACATGAGAAAATTATTAACATAAGGAATAGCGTTGTAAGTAAGACAAGCGGAAGGAAAACACAGCTCAGATCTCATGGATGAGTGACATCGAAGAATGGTAGAATGTAAAACATATTGGAAAAATAAATTCCTTTCTTTTTTATCATGTGTACGCTCGACCTTTTGTTGATTTAACCTTGCTGATATCGGAGAAAAGCCAGATTATGTACAAAATAAAAGTTCTGTGTGTATGAAAGTATGCGCAATTCTCTTTAAATGAAAGCATGAAGATTATAATAATTTACAAGAATACTTTTAAAACATGGTTTTGTTACCAGTTTTGCTTTGACGAGCATTAATATATGGTAAAATGTCAGGCCGAGGTAGTTAAGGCGACAGCCTACTGCTCTGGGAGACCCTGAATCGAATCCGGGCGAGCAATCCCAGGAATTTTTCATAGATGGTCTGTCCAAGACATGTCAGTTCCTGCTCTTTTGCGGGCCTGGCCGAACCCACTACGGAAATAAAGGGGGAAAAAAGTCCTCTTAATGTCCGCAGGAAGGAAAGAGTCTTTAAAAAAAAAAAAAAAAAAAAAGAGTAAAACGCGATATTCGTAAAATACTGATATCCAAATTCTCATTTAGTAAAAAGAAAATAATTGAGGAAAATTGCTCCAGATCGAATTTCTAGAATAGTTTTATAAATATCTTAGAAGAAGCGTTAAAAAAAGTCAAACTAAGTTTTCCTCAATTCCATGTCTTCTTTGAACTTTTCTTAGAAGTTTGTAAGATATTTTCTGTCTTAAAAAACACAAAACGCATTAAAAAATCTCGCATAATTATAATAGAAATGAACCAGTAAAGAATTGACCTCTTAATCGGTTGAGCTAAATCTTTTTATAACGATAAAAGAAGTGTTTCGTGGAAGATTATGGCAATCACATACAGACATGAAAACTGTCAATTTACATACAATGCTAATTTTAGAAAACCGAGTTTTTAATATTTGTTAACTTATTCAACGTTGTAAATCTTATGCAAAGCAGTGGAATTATATAATTACTATAAAAATCCTCGGTTACTTTCTTATTTACGTAAGTTATAAACTAAAAACATTTCTTTCAGTTTAAGTAGACTTTGCTTTCCTAAATACTGGATCAGTTTATCTCAGAATATAACTTTCTGTTGTGAGGAAATAACATCTCTCCAATACTGCTCCATAATGTGATATTCTGTTTGATTTAATTAACCACCGAAGTGGTCAGCTTTGAAGTGGTGAAGTTTGGTCTCTATTCTGTCCTCCAACTCCATCGCGGATCCATCTTTCCAATCATTTTCATAAACTTTTTGCTTCAATTGATACTAAAATCTCTCAATCGGTCTCAGTTGCGAAACGTTTGGAACTTGGCTTCGGGGAGATGTATCGAATTCTGTGATAGTCCAACTTGACAACTGTATCATGAGCATAATAGACAGTGATCTTTTATAGCCAGAAGACATTCTACGTGAAGTAGTATTTCTTTAGGAATGGTACTAGCCATTTCTGAATGCATTCGTTGTCATACACTTCTTTGGTGATGAAGAGTTTGGTGATGACGGGACAAAAAGACCTGTGAACGTTCCTTTGAATTGATTGCCAGCCAAACCAAAAGCTTCAGCGAAACTTGGAGTGTTTTTTGAATTTGATTTCAGGATCTATATTTATCCCTTCTTTGATGAAATAGTGATTGTTACCAGCACATTCACTTCCATCAAAAAAGAAATAAGACTCGTGGTCCATAACTACATCGAGACTGATGCCTTCAAAACTTCATCACTCAGCTTCCGCAGAAGGGTTTTTTGAATAGTAAGTTGCTTCATCTTGTATTTTAGATCAGGCTTTCGCTCTTTGAGAGTCACTTGATCTTTCAAAATCCGGCGATCATGTCCTTATGAAATGTGAACGTCCTTTTTAATCGTCTCAGCGTTTGTTCAAGTTTCCTAAAGGATTTTTCCTCTAATTGGTTCCTTTTCCTTTCGGTCTTTACCCTCCTCTTTCGACCACATCCCGTTCTTTCTGCAACTGTTTTCATTGCTCTATCTTTGAAATTATGTTATACATTGTACACCGTGTTACTCTCATTGTAGCGAAATGTTTAACTGTGTAAAATTTTTTCATTTATGTTCGCGATTTTCAATATAAAATCTGTTAATCACATTTCTTCAATTGAATTCATTTAATCCTTCCATTTATAAAATAGAACGTTAAGTAAACTCTTCATAAATATAATCAAGAAAATTCTAGAAAGAACGCGTGCTATCTTGTGTCCATGTGTAATTATTCGAAAGTACCTAAAAATGCTATTGAAATTTGTACAGATTTTTAGAGTACACCACTCTCAGTGCAATCCTCAGAAAATAATATCAGTGGTGTTTTTTAAACCTACTGTCGATAGAAACAAACAATGCGCTGAAAGAAAGATTATTATTTTTTAAAAATATATAAAAATTCTATTTACAATCATGAAAAAATAATTTATAATTGAAAATATTCATTTTATATAAATTACTCTTTACAGCCCTTACTGCTGTATATAATAGAAGCGAAACAAACTTTCATTGGAAAGAATCGGATTTTCGGGTTTTTTCTTTTTTTAACTCTTTCAGCCTTGTCGGCACTAAGAGGGCTTCTTTAAGCAACCCATTATGGGTTTGGCCAGGCCCACAATGGGCAGGCCGGGTGATGAGAGACGGGGCCCGACATATCTGGACGGACTACCCCCCGAAAAAATCCTGAAGACTTTTCGAGCCGTCCGTATTCGGATTCCGGTCCCTCAGAGCGGTGGGATGCCACCTTGTCCGCTCGGCCATCCGGCCTTTGTTATGATAATTCATGTGAGATACCCGATGAAAATGGAGAAGATAATCTATTACGTGAATTTTAAAAACTTTAGCAACTAGTTACGTAACTTTCCAGGCAACTACATTTAAAATTACGTTGGCGCCATCTGTTACGAGATTTCGTTATAAAAAGCTTATTATTAATTATTATAAAATGGCAAAAAGCCTAATTTTGATGGCAGTGATGAGTTTTATTTAAAAATATAAATGCTAATATCGAATAAAATCTTTAACTCTGTCCCTTGTCGAGATATGACATGTGACCATCCCTATCTCCCCATTCCTGAACCTTTAATCACCAAAATTTAATAGCATCGATGCCGCTTATATACAAACTACCGTGCCAAACTTCCTTTCTTATTCTTTACCCCATCCTGAGATATTAAACGAAATAGACTCCAACACACGCATCCAAAGAATTTTTTCCTCTTTTTTAGGATTCGGAGCATCTCAAAATGTGGAGTAAATGTGGATTTGAAAAACATCCGGAACGTCAAATTTGACACGATTTCAATACTTTCCCTTAATATGTATACAAGAAAGCTGGAAAAGTAAAATGAGACAATTTACAAATCGTTTTTATCCAGCGGCGGACTGGGACATGATTGATTTGAGTCTGGCAACATCAAAATCACCGGCCCACTTTACTAATTAGTGTCGGATATCAATATTCCAAAAAATTGGGTAAAGAGATGGTAAAATAAAACGAAGTGAAAAGTATTTATATAATCAATTACATTTAAATACAACTAATAAATAATACTTGAAAATTTCAACAAACGGCATTTTTACTTTTTTTTTCTTTTCTTTTTACTCTTTCCGCCCTGTGGGTACTAAGAGGGCCTCTTAAAGCAGGCCCATTATGGATTCGGCCAGGTCCACAATGGGGCGACCGGGTGGTGAGGGATGGGGCCCGACATATCCGAATGGACCACCCCCAAAAGAGTCCTGGGGATTCTTTGACCCGTCCAGATTCGATCCCAGGTCCCCCAGAGCGATGGGCTACCTCCTTGACCGCTCGGCCATCCGGCTGTCTGGCATTTTTACGTATAGAGGAAAAGGTAGTATTATGGAACCACTCCATTTCGAACTGATAATAAAGGCGAACTGTAGCGGATTGTGTCTGTACTGCACTAGGCAGACATCCATAGCAAGGGGAAAACCCGTTTCATTTCAGTTAAACGGTTATCCGTAGTGAATCAGCATATTTATGTTTTTCAAAATTCGAATGTTTTTAATGATAAGTGAATTTAATTATTTCTAAAATATAAATCGTGTAGTTGTAGGTTCACTAGTGCATGTATTCCGTTCCAGAGACTTAGGGGTACAGTACATATTAATTTGTGTGATGTTCACGTTTTTTAAAATTTGGTCTTGACAGACATAAGTTAATTCAAGATGGCGATGCCATTGGTGCTTTTAATATGGAACCCAACTCCTCTGGGAACCCAACTTCTCCGAACTCTCTCTTTGCAAGCAGACATTTGTCCGGAGCAATTTGTGAAAAAGACATTAGGAAGAAAGCCAATTCTTCCTGAGAATATCGAAAAAGAGCTGCTGGAATATATATTGTTGATGGAAGTCATATTTTTCTATTATAAAAGCATTTTTTCGATAAAATACATTGGATTAAATAATTTTGTAATTATTTAACATTCTTTGTACTTTCCTATTTGTTTTAGAATACATTAAAGCATTTTTTGAAAACATACATTAAGGTTCCATATTACCACCCGGTTTTCCCTAAGCCTACTTTCTGACTTTTTGTACGAAAGCCTTCAAAAACCATACTTATGGTTACACTAGCGAAAAATCCAATTAGGAACATTTAGTTTAATAGTTACAGTACTTTTCGCACAAAAAATGTGGGTGTAGTTATGATACCTTGTTTACAATTCACTAAAATGAAATGGGGTTCCAAATACCACCTTCTCCTCTACAATTTTTAACAGTATCGGCCTATTTTGACACCGCTCTTTTTGGCATTTGCCAGAACTGCCCTAAGACCAGTCCGTCTCTGTTTTTATCTAATAGTTATAAAAAAGATATCAATGGAGCAGATTTTACGTATAAATTGCTTACATTATCAAAAATGATTTTCAATAATGTACTGTACAAGCAAAAGATAGCGAGAGTACAGGAAGGTTACTCATCGAAAGACATGCAGAAGATTCTCCCAAATTTCAATATTTCACTGAAAACCTTGCTTACGCTTCCGTTTACAGTGGTAAGTGCTGAAAGATTCTTAAAGTTGAAAATAATAATAATAACAGTAATTTTATTTAAATTCAAAATGTACTAAAGCAAGTTTATTGGGAGTATTTCTACTTTCAACTAAACATGATAAAAGAAAAATTTGTTGAGGAATGAAGTCCCATGTGGAACATTGTTGAGCAAATAAAATCATCGTTTCTCTCTAGTTAATTCAATTCTGTATTATTTTTCCCTTTTAATTTTTGGTTTTTTTTCGCCTTGTGGCATTAAGATCTTTTTCCCATTCCCTT